TGCACAGCCACTGGTTCAGCAGTTGCTAGGCCCAGCAAGGGACTGATTTCCTTTTTAAAAAAATATACTTTATAAGGACTTCCACTGAGAGGTCCATGTGGCAGGGCCAAAATTCTTTTCAGAAAGAAACGAGGCCTTCTTTCTAACATGGACAAAATAAGCAGTAATATAAATTATGTATAATTCTTCCAGAATCAACCACAAGCCAACATAAAGGAATATCACATTTGAAAACAACAGAACCAAATTTAAAAGCATAAACATTTGATAACTACTCCTAATCCTTACTTGTTATTACTATAGCTTAATCTACCTTGATTTTATTTCCAGTCCTGTGCAGACTCCTACTTTGTAATTAACCTTGAATATATGTTGGCAGTAGAGCCCTTCAGAAACCCACAGAAGCTTCTGAAACCCTCTACCTTGTTTGGTATTCAAAGGTACTTTGGCTTCTTTCAGTGGATAGTTTGCCCTGTGCTTTGCCCAAAGGAGTGTAATTTACCATCTGAGCTGTGTGGGGTAATTAGAGGGCTCCACTTGCTCGCCCTGTAGGCCTTCCGGGGCCTAGGAAGGCGCCTTCTCCTGCTGCTGGCTGTGCCTCCTTCAGGAGCAGGAAGAGAGCAGCGCCCTCATTAGCAGTATGAAATGGGTATCACTGTCTTCTTCCAGTGAAAGGAGTAACTTCCTCTTCTACTTAAAAAAAAAAAAAAAAAAAAAAGAGAGAAGAAGGAAAAAAGAAAAGAAAACTGAAAAAGGCTTTCCCTCTAGGGCAGTCTCCACTGCCACATTAAGGGATGCTTTTATTTTAAAGCAGTGGCATTTCTTCCAGCCTCTGAAATTGTCTTCAGCTTTTATAAACTGCTTTCACAAGAAAGTTTCTTGAAACAACTTCCTTTCTAAACTTGCCTCTCTACTAGCTGAGGCATTTTAAAAGATATAATTCAAATAGAGAACATCTGTTTTAAAGTGCTTTCACCACATTCTGAAAGATAGGTATTAGACTATCCATCCCCCACTATAGAATTCCGGTTTTTGAAAGTGTCTTTCTCCAGTTTCTCCACAGCCTGCCATCATTGGTGTAAATACCAGAACAGAGAGATTTAGGTAGACAACAAGAAAATACATTCAGGTTTGATACAAATATTTTTCCAGTGTCATGCAATGTTTTTTTTTTTTTTTTTTTCTAGATTAAATTCAGCTCCCAGCACGATTCTGTAATGCAGTTTTTAAGTGATTAACATTTGAGAACCTTTGTCATTTTTTATTTTTAGGTTTTTAAAGTCATTTTAGAAATACTTTGGCACTGTAATTGATGTCTTTCTTAAAATTCACAATTCTATGCTCTTTACAAAAAGGCATTTTATTTTAGTTGCTACCCTGGGAATTGAACCCAGGAGTGCTCTACCACTGAGCTATATCCCCAGCCCTTTTTATTTTGAGACTGTGCCTCACTAAGTTGCTGAGGCTGACCTTGAAGTTGTAATTCTCTTGACTTAGCTTCCAAATCACTGGGATTATAGATGTGTGCCACTGTGTTCAGCTCAAATTAAGATATTTTAGTGATGAAATAAACAGAAGTTAGAGAAATCTTCATCTCAAAACTCCTCCCCCATGAAATTTCATGTGCTATTCCTTCATTTGTTCCTTTATACTTCCATTCTTGTTTAACATGTTTATTGAGCATCTGTTCTATGTGAGGTACTGTTTTTAATAACTGGATGAATACCAGGAACAAAAGACAGGATCTCTTTCTTCTTGGAACCTAAAGTCCAGTTAGGGAGATACATATTTAGTAAATTAGCAAGAAATAGCTACAACAAAGAACACACCCTGATGAAAGCTATAGAATTTAATTAATAATAATGTATCAGTACTGATTCTTCAACCTTAATGAACGTTGTGTCAATAGTAGGGAGAACTGTGGAGGTGAGTGGATATGCAAATCCTGTGCTTTTTTACTTGATTTTTCTCTATACCTGAAACTACTCTAAAAATACTTTCTTAATTAAAAATACAATTCAATGGGCTGAGGTTGTGACTCCATAGTAGAGCGCTCGCCTTGCATGCTTGAGGCATGGAGTTTGATCCTCAGCACAACATAAATGCAAAATAAAGATATTGCATCCACTTAAAACTAAATAATAAAATAAATATAAAAAATAAAATTCAAAGTAGCTATAAAAGACAATCACTCAAAAGAATATAAAGAGGATGCTGTTAGAAAGAATGGGAGAATAACATAATTTGGGTGGAGAGTGAAGAAAGACCTTTGAGAAGTGTTAAGACCAGAACTAGAGGATGAGAAAGAACTAGCCAAGCAAAGCAGCCTCCATAAAGCCAAGTGAAACCATTGGAATTACCTTTGGAAATATGATTTTGGCTTCTCTGTGGAGAATATATTATGGGGTGGGGCAAGAGAACAAACTAGGAAAAAGTTGGGAGAAGCTTAGAATGGACCCCAGCTTTTGCTTCCCACTCAATGAGGCACTAGAGGAGGAGAGCAACAGACTAAGTCTCACTGTTCAGCTTATGCCAGAAACAGATGCTCTAAGAACTGAGTGCTAGGGAGAGAGGAGACTGCATCCTCCCAAGATCTGTCCAGTAACTCAGTGGGATACACGGAATTTAAAAACAATCTTGGTTTTTGTTTCTTCAAAGTCTATATGTTGAATTTTTTTTTTTTTTTACAAGTCACTAAAAAGTAACCTTTAAAAAGGTTGGTGTAAGTTAGGCACATCAGTATTGAGTGGTTCGTATCAAAATTCCTAGGGGCAGTGAACTTCCAAGGAAGAAAATAATGCTGGATAAAAGGAAGCATCTGCCAGGATGGATTTCTGCTGGTTCTGGAATTAGTAGTATAGAAGAAGCTTGGAAAGTTCATAGTTCTCTTTGCATTTAAAATTAAGCAGCTCCATGTAATCCACTTCTCCATTTCTAATTTTTTATCTGCTTATGTGTATGTGCACACAAAATTTCCAAAGCATTAACTATTTTGTCCATTTCCTTTATAGTAGAAAAATTGCATATGATGGCTGTATACAAATGTATAAGAAAATTAGATAATATGTTGAAAATGAGGTTGCATTTCATAGCACTTATCTACTAATGATACAGAATGGTTAATGCATCTATTTATACTTCTCTCTAGAGTCAAGATTTTTTTTTTCTTTTGTATTCCCGGAAACACAAACACTAAGGAAGATTCCTCCACTTGAGCAGATTTGTTGTTTATTTTAGGAAATAAATGTGCTTCATTAATGTAAGTTTAAGTAGTCCAGTTATGAATATGGAATGAAGAGACACAATGAAGTTCTCCACTCTGATGTCTCCATTAAGAAGCTCCTCTTTGTATAAAATACTCCATAGCAAAGTTGCTTCTATTTAAAGTACTGAGTTTGATCTTGGCTTTGATCTAAACCTTTTGATCTTGAAAGAGGGATGGAGTAGCAATAAAGAGAGGGCAAGGCAGATTTTCTTTAAAGAAATGCGATAAACTTAAAGGGTGGTCAAAATCAGCAAACGAATACGACCCTACTCTCCTGCCGGCTCTCACTAGCAATCTGGTCCCACTACCTTCTGAAACTGATGGAAAACCTTTTGGTGATTTACCTGAAAACTTGGGGGTAGCGAACACTTTTGTAAACGAAGTGGAAACTTTCTCCCTAATTATGAAAACAGATTAAGCTCCTTTTAATTCCACCAGTGACTTTGGAGCTGCAGGGCTGTGCGCCCACGCTGTCGGGGCGAGTGCCGCGCTGGCTGAGCGTAGCCAGAGCGCGGCGGCTCCCGCGATGCGCCGGCGGAACTGGGGGCTAGGTTTTTCTGCACTCCAGGCTTCTCTCTGGAGGTCACCTGCCACCTCCAGACCCGGAGGAACACTGAAAAGCTTCTACTTAATTGCGCTGTAATCTATTCGCGAACAGTGCATTTGGAAAGTTCCTTTCCCTTCACGAAAGCTATCGGACACTTAGCTTCTGACCCGAAGAGCAAGTACTGGCTCCTCGCGGGGCTGCGGGAAGCATCTCTGCAAAGCCTTTGACTGCGAGCAGGCAGCATTTCGTGTGCTCCAACCTCCGAGAAAGCCTTTTGCGGGTACCTAGGGCCCGGGGTCTGAAGGCTGCATAGGTGAAGCAGGCGCGCCCGGGGTCTGTCCACGCGTGGGGGGCGCCGCGGCGCGAGCATGGGCCGGAGCCCAGGAGAGGAAGAAAAACATTTGCAAGACGAACAATAAC